GAAATGTAGGAATGATTATGGATTTTATTGGAGTAAGGAAAACTCTTTTCAATCACTAGTCTCAGAAATATCATCAGATATGATCAATGATGTGGGGAAATTGTAATTTAAAACAAGTGCTAGTTTGGGCTTCCAGTTGTAATATGAATATTTAAATAAATCAATTATTTCCTATCAAAAATCATACTCATTTATCATTTCAACTGCACATCAAAATCTTATACGCTCTTTGCAACCTTATTCTCCAACCTGTTAAATCGCAAGTTTTGTGACAATCTGATGGTCTAAAAATACTCTTATTACAAGCCAAACAACAAAGAACCAGTAGGGCTGATATTAACAGTGAGGGATGAAAAACAAAACATTTACAAAAGCCTTTTTCTTTTCTTAGGAACAAGACTAAATGAGATCAGATCAAACTAATGTAGAGAGATTTATTTATCTCTAAATGAAAATAGATTTACACCTGACAGATTTCAGAGAAATGAGACTTAAGTTAAAAGGGGACTTTTACATTGCGTATTATGCAGTAATGGGCACCGACTTGGATACCTATTTGAGGAAATTCATAGTTTTTTTAAGCCAGGCATTTGGCTGTGCCAATTTTATGGCAGACAATTAATTATATCATAAATCAGTCACTTAGGAAGTTTTATAGCTCTCATCAGATCAAACATCTCACGATCGTTTCCACACACAACTTTGTGATTCTCGAAAATAAAACATCAACGTCTTAAGACAAACCTTCAATGTTTGTTGTCTCATGTGCACATCTTGATCTTCAGTAAATCAAATCTCATACTTCAAGTTTTCGGGCTTCTTTTGCGTTCTGTTTGCCCTTTGATCACTAAAACATCCTCATCCGAAGAGTCAGCAAACACCACGAGTATCCAAAGAGTTAGAAATGTTAGTAAACTTGTCATACTCTTTCATTCTTCTCCAGAAAATATTACAAAAAGGTGTAGATCACCCAGTTGAAAACCCGCGTAAGCACGCTGAAATATCAAAATGGTACCGAACGCGCCGAACAAATTCCATTGTCACGTTTGCAGGAAAATGCCCCTATGCTGCTATGCATAACTTTAGTTCCACTTGAGAAGTAACGATTATCATAACTTTGGTCTCGAGATCATGTTGTTGTGGTGAGCTGTCTCCTTAGTCTATTTCTGGTTGTAACGCTTTCACCTTTTCCTCCAGCACCTCATATGGTACATTACTCTCTCCTCCAAAATGGTCACCAAAAGTTTTGCCTACCGATTCATTTCCGTTTTAGTTTCATTTCCGGTTTAACGTTTCGTTGTGTGTCACGTGACAATCTTTAGGAGATTGCACGTGCTTTGGAGAGAGTTTTGCCTTCATGTAGCTGTTTTGGTTTGCAAAACAGTTTTTAAACGTGTGTGATCGTGATTGTAATGTGATTGTTATTACGATTTCCCTTTTTTTGTACGTTATCTTGTAACGCTACACACGGATTAAAAGCGAAAGCTACGAAAGTTAAAAGTGATAAGCAGAAAGAAAGTTTATACACTATCGACAAAGAAAAACCCTTTGAAAGTAAGCCGTTTGAACGCCATTTTAGCGGTAAGTTAAAATATTTTCTCCTATTTAATAATCCCTCCAAAAAGATGCACAGAGGAATCTGCAAGGAAAAACAGGGAGAAAGAGATGGAAATTGTCACTGGAATGCATGCAGTGGCAGTGAACTAGTTAACGACAGTCAGTCTCCTGCTCGGGTTCAACTGAGAGACTCTTCAGCGTCGCGTACACAACGTTCCTGTGTTCTGGTATAAATCAAGCGAACCGTATATTGCATGTAAGGTAATCACATAAACTTTGATAGATTAAATCCCAAATGCACCAGATGAGAGCAATCATCTTAATGCGTTGTATTATCAGGAGCGTACTTCTCTAAGTAATAGTTAACCGATGGTGTCGAGAGTTCCTTCATGTGCACTGCGCAAGTGACACTCGCCCTCAGTTTGGGGTTAAACGCTCCTTTTTCGATATCAACGTCTGAAATACAAACATAACATCAATTTGTTAGTTCTCCTTGGGAAACGGCGTTTTAATTCGGCAAGTTTTCGATGTGACGCGGCCGCAGGTGTTGCTGGCCAGTGTATTCCCTTAATGGTAAATTTTGGCCCACGAGATATTGGCCTGGAGAAGAATGGGGAGGATATGAAGGG